ATATTATATAAAATATAATTTTGTGTGTGATACTGGGAATTGAACCGAAGGCCTTCATGCTAAGCTACATCCCAAGTCCTTTTTTATTCATTTATTTTTTATTTTGAGACAGGGTCTCACTAAATGGCTCAGTTGCCCAGGTTGGGCTTAAACTTGTAATCCTCCTGCCTCAGTCTCCCAAACTGCTGGTGCAGGTATACACCATCCTGCCTGGCTAAAAGTTTGGTGCTTAAAAAATTATGCTAAGTATCACTATGTTTATTCAGTCTTATCTCAGAAGCACTCATGGTATTAAAACATCATATACTTAGGACCTATTTAAAAGCCTATAGGTGGGCCAGGGATTCAGCTCAGTGGTTTTGCCGCCTGCTGCGCAAGCGCAAGCCCAAGCAAGGAAGTTCGATCCCCGGTACCAAAAAGAAAGCCTGTGGGCAGCAGCCTTCCTTTCACATGTGCCAGTTTATAGTCTTTGCTACATATTTCTGATTAAAGCAGGTAAATGAGGTATCTGTATCTACTTATAGTGCCCACAAGCTAGGAGAAGGGCCTTCCACACAACCTCAGGGTTACCCCTGTTATCCCTGAAGGGCAGCAGACCTCATAAAAAGAACCCAGGAAGCAGCTGGGAGGGATGCCTGGTCCTGAGATCTACAAAATGAGACAAAAAGAGGAACAAGAGCAAACCCTGAAGTCTATGTGCACGGCCACCTATGAATCTCTAAGGTTAACAAGCCTAGAAAAGAAACGGGAAAAGGAAAACCCATTGAGATTCCATGGGGAAAGCAATCTACTATCCCACGTGCATTCTATTTTGAATTCTGACTCAATGTGAAACATAGTTGTGTGCCACCACTCCTGGCTTGGATGCTTTTTCTTGTTTTATTTTGGGATCACATAAATGAATCACTAATATTTTTCATACATAAAAATCATACTTTAAAGAGGAAAACAAAAAAAAAAAACTAGCCAGGCTTGGAGACCCATGCTTGTAATCCCAGCTTACTCAGGAAGCTGAAGCAGGAATATCAGAAGTTTGAGCCTAGCCTAGGCAATTTAGGGACTTAGTGAAATGGCTCCAAAAATAAAATACAGCCAGGTGTGATGGCACATGCCTATAATCCCAGGACTTGGGGGGGCCGAAGCAGGAGAATCGTTGTGAGTTTGAGGCCAGCCTTGGCTACATAGTGAGTTCAAGGCCAGTCTGAACTATGTAGCGAAACCCTGTCTCAAAAAAAAAATAGAAAAAATAGAAAACAACTGGGGATGTAGCCCAAGGTGAAGGTCCTGGATTCAACCCCCAGTACTGAATAAAGAGGAGGAGGAGAAGAAGGAGAAGGAAGAGGAGGAGGAAGAAGAGGAGGAGGAGGAGGAGGAGGGGAGAAAAGAGGAGGAGAAGAAAGAGAAGCAGGAAGAAGGAAGAGGAGAAGAGGGAGGAGATTGAAGGAGGAGGAGGGAAGAAAGGGAAAAAAAGAGATGAGGGAAGCAAAGGAAGGGTCTGAAAAATTTTTCCTGAGAATTTCAGTTGGGCAAAGGAAAGAAATCCCCTTTGGAAACAAGAGGGAAGCAAAATTTTCCTCCTTCATCTCATTGCCCTTCCTCAGTGATTAGAGGAACCACAAGGCAAGACATGCTAGGCAAATATTTGTTATTAGGGCAACTGGATAAGTTGGAGGGTCCTTTACACAAGGACCAACAGAGAGATGCTTCTTCATCCACACAAGGAGAAAGTTGGGCCAAAAGACCTCCTCAGACTCCTCCTGAGATGCTCTCGGGTTTTTTGAATTATTGGGACACTTGGGGTGGTGTAATAGGTGGGGTGCTATATCATCCCTGTCATTCTCGGTCCCCATCCCTGTTCACTATCTTGTCATTGAAGAGCTTAGAAGTCATCCCAGTTTTGTCTTTGTTTTGGGGGGGTTGTTTTTTGGGGGGGGTTGGTACCGGGGATCAAACTTAGGACTTTGTGCTTACAAGGCAAGTGCACCACTGCTGAGCTAAGCCCAGTTTTGAGGAAAAACACAGAGCTCATTAGATCAAAATTATATTTACACTATGATGAATGTTATCATTATAGGTATCTAAAATGTACCAATAAATGTTTTGCTTCAAAAAAATACTTACAGCGCAAGGTAGAACCTTTAAACGGGGTGGGGTGGGGTGCACCAGGCCTCTCTGGAGAGGCCCAGAGAGTTGAAGCAGGGCACTGTGTCTAGATGTCCCCCAAAGCCTCATGCAGTCATAGGTGGAGCTTTTCAGAGGTGGCTGGATCTAGGGTTTGTGCTTCTGGGATCAAGGACGTGATGCTGGGGTTGATTCAGGGTGTGATACTAGGATTAAGGGTAGCCTGGATAAGATATAAGGGACAGAAAGAGCTGCAGTCATGGTTTGCCACTTGTAGCTTGCTTGCTTGGTGCCTTCTGTTCTATTGAGAACATGATCAAGATTGGAGTGCGGGTGCTCAGAGATATGGGACACATTATTTCCTGGAAGAGAGAACATACATGCTTCTCTTGAAGGGGTGAAAATGACAGGAAAATGTGGCTCACCTCCTAGAAGGGCACTAGCCCATTTTGCAGGTATGGAGTTTTTCGTAATAAGTAATTTAAACATTCTTTGGATTCTCTTGGCCTACTCCTTTAACTTAGGATCAGTTTCCTGCTCTTTATTTTCTGAATTAAGCCAATTTATGGACTTTTAGTATTTCTGAAGAATTTTAGGTGTGATGGGTCTGGGAGGGAAGGAACCTAAATTTACACACACACACACACCCATGCTGATATGGAGCACCTTAAATAACCTCGGCTGGGACTTAGAAGTTGCAGTCTTCTTAAAAAATACAATTTTTAGTTATGATTTCCCTGTCTCCTTTTCACCTGTCTTTTATTTCTCCTATCCTACCTCACTTTTTAATCTTCTTCTGTTGCTGCCCAAAATACTTTCCAGCCACTGCATCAGGCACCCTACATGGGCTCTGGCTATTTTGCTTAGGCTGCAGGAGACCTTAGTCTTGGACCTACCCCAGATAACTGCTCTTCCACATTCTTTCTCACTTAAGTCTTCAAGGGTCCCCTCCCCATGACCAAAGTCTGACACTATGCATTACAAGCCCACCATATTGTTGCTGCACCAACAATCTCCCCATACCCTTAATGGATTCATTCCATGTGTTCCTCTTTATGCTGAAGCAGAATCGCCCTCTCCCCAAAAAACTCTTCTGGATGGTATATTTTTGCCTATTCATAATTTCTGTCTGCAGTAGAGCATGCTGAGCTGGTACACTATGAGCTGATAACACCAAGGATCACTGGCAGCTGAGACTAGTAACACCAAAGGCATCTAGCAGTCAAGAGAAGTACAGAGAACAACTAAGAATTGCTAGAGCTGCTGTCTGCAGTGACCAGGAGAGTTCTCAAGGCCTGCCAGTAGCCGCTGGCTCTGAATGGCAAGAAAGGCCACTGGTAGTGTGAGATATATGTATGCATATATATGTCTTGATCTCCAGGACACAAAACTCCTAAAGCCCCTGTAACTTCCTAAGTAATAAGAGTGCTAAAGGAGTGTCTTCTATTACTCATAACAAGTCCCTTTAGACCACACCTGAGCTTATGGTAACGAGATAAATTTTGGAAATGCCCTGGGGTGAGGCCTGGTTGCTAGAGGGATTCAGTTAGGAGGCTGGAACTGTCTGCCCCATCCCCTGGCCTCCCAAGATGGGAGACGGTCTGGACACTGAGTTCAATCACCAATGGCCAATGATTTAGCCAATTACACCTGTGTAAAGAAGCTTCCACTAAATTAAAACACACATGGGCCAGGGATTTAGCTCAGTGGTTCTAGTGCCTGCCTCAAAAGCGCAAGGTTCCGAGTTCCATCCCCGGTACCAAATAAATAAAACACACACACACACACACACACACACACACACACACACAGCTTCTGGGTTGGTGGTGAACATTTGAGGTGCAGGGTTAGCTTAACATTTGAAAATCAATTACAGTATAGGCAGGTATGGTGACACATGCCTATAACCTCAGCTTCTTGGAGACTGAGGCAGAGGGCTGAAGCATGAGGATGGCAAGTTGGAGACCAGCCTAGGCAACTGAGTGAGACCCTGTCTCAAAATAAAATTTAAAAAGGGCTAAGGGGGCCGGGGATTTAGCTCAGTGGTTCCACAGCCTGCTTCGCAAATGCAAGCTCCCAGGTTCGCTCCCAGGTTCAATCCCCGGTACAAACAAACAAACAAAAAATCCTTTGGGGCCTGGGATTTAGCTCAATGGTTTCACCGTGCCTGCTGCGCAAGTGCAAGGACCGGAGTTCGATCCCCGGTACCAAAAAAAAAAAAGGGCTAAGGATGTGGCTCAGTGGTAGAGGGCTTGCCTAGCATGTGCTAGACCCTAGGTTCAATCTAGCACAGCAAAAAATAAGTAAATAATTTTTTAATTAAAAAATTTAAATAATAAAGTGTTTTGTTCATTGTGAACAATGTAATATGTGTAATATGTGACCTTGTCCTAGTATTACAACCTGTTCTTAACTGATAAAACCCATTTAAAAAAAAACCAACCTGTAACTATTTCTGGATATGAAAAAAGGGAAAATTTTGAGACCGTCCCTAAAGAGTAACTTAGTTTGTATATCGGTTTAAGGCGTATTCCACAGTCCCTTGATTCTGCCTTCCTCCCTTTCCTTAGATCTCGTTTGTTGGATTTGAAATCTCGCGAGAGATCAAGTTCTCATGAACTCTCCCAGGAGCCATTGCTCTTCCTCTTCCTGTAAGCGGCCAGAGGTGAGTGTTGCGTTCTTCTTTTGCTCTGTGTGTTTAATCCTCCGGTCATCCTTGCCATCCTGGCCATGTGGGCGGCGGGGTCAAGTCCGCCGAGAGGGGACCTCTTCAGGGTTCGATTCATCGGTTGAAGAGGTGTCCCTTTGTGCGGAGGGAGATGGCGGAGCACCCGGCTTATTGCGGAGAGGCCGGCCGGCTTTTGCGGCCTACAGAAGAACGTAATGAGCGGGAATAGGGAAGGCAGGGCTCATTCGCTGGTGTGGGCACTGGTACCCTGTGGTCTGACTTGCCTCTGACTGTGGAGGTCCAGTGTGTCGAGGTGAGTAGTGAACGGTTTGTGGTGCATTTGTGGCCTTAAAGCGCAAAAGTCCGGAGGAGATAAAGTTGAGTGGAGGCTTTACCTGTTTCGGCAGTGTGCTGCAATTAGATGACTCTTGGCATGGGTAATAGGCCAAAAGTCTGTGGAAAGCCTGCGTTACTATGAAGCTGCATGAGTGGAGGAGGCTTCTATACAGAGGGAGGGAAATTGGCCTTGGGGTTTGCCATGCACGCGCATCATATTACGCTTGGAAGAGCTAAGGTTGGACTGAAACAGTCTTGTGTTCCAGAGGGAAAGGAGAGGGCTGATAGGCTCATGTCACTGGTAATCAGTGCTGTAGTTACTGGTGTGAAGACGCTGAGGGGAAGAAAGGGCTGGCTAGAGAAGAGGATGGCTGTGATAGTGACATTTCTTGGGATACCTTTGGATTAAAAATGAAAACAACTACTCAGAGCATTCGTGGCATCCGTACTTAATTAAATTATACTAGTTACTGAAAGTATTACTGACTGAGAAGTGCTGTCTTGCAGGTGACCTGTGAAAATGGTTCGATACTCTCTTGACCCAGAAAACCCCACAAAATGTGAGTAGAACATAACTGTCTTAACTGTTTTGGGGTGAACGTAGTAATACACCCCAAATTAACAAAACCTTTTTATTTTCTAGCATGCAAATCAAGAGGCTCAAATCTTCGTGTTCACTTTAAGGTATGGGAATTATGACGAGGATCTAGTTTTACATTTCAAGCTCTTGCCTTAAAAAGGTAGCTGTGATGATGTCTTTCTTAGGACACCTTTGGATTTACCATGAAAATTAATAAATTCTGAGCGGCTGCCTTTTACTTAGAAATTATCAGGGCATAAGGAGACCTTTGATTTAGAATTTGAGGACGTAAAGCTATCAGAACTACTTGAAGGGAGTGTGCAGGTCAAGATGGGACACAAAAGTATGAATAAAATATATTGGAATTTAAACATTTTACTGTGAATAAATTTAGGGTTGGGTTTAATTTTCCTTAACTACAAAAACTTATTGACTCAATGTTGGCTGTAAAATAGTACTTTGATGTGGTTAACTGAAACTTTATTACTCATATTTAGAATACCCGTGAAACTGCCCAGGCCATCAAGGGTATGCATATCCGGAAGGCCACCAAGTATCTGAAGGATGTCACATTGAAGAAACAATGTGTGCCATTCAGGCGTTACAATGGTGGAGTTGGTAGGTGTGCCCAGGTGAGAATTGTTAGTTGATATTTGAAAGGAATGGAAAGGTGAATCGGTGGGACAATGGCTAAGATCTGGCTTTATCAGGTGCTTTCTGGTTGCTGTGATGACAATCTTAGGACACCTTTGGATTAGCCATGAAATAAAACATAGTCTGAGCAACCATGATGTTGGATAAAATAAGTTGATCTTGATTCTAATGTTGATTTAAACCAAGAAAAATATCTAATTGCTTCATTTTCTTTCAGGCCAAACAGTGGGGCTGGACACAGGGCCGGTGGCCCAAAAAGAGTGCTGAATTTTTGCTGCACATGCTTAAAAATGCAGAGAGTAATGCTGAGCTTAAGGTATCCAAGTCCTTAACATCCCTGTGTATTTGCAAATTAGATGATTGCTTCACCTTTATATCCTTGGTTGTCTTGGTTCACAGTAATTCTCATGCCAAAATTTTGTCAAAATCTTTCCATAAATAACCCTGATCTTTTATCCTTGATGTTTGTAAGACATTTTTTCTTGCTGGGAATGTGTAGCTAGTAGAGCATTTGGCCCACCAGCATTCAGGGACCAAAAACACATTTCTTTCACCAAATACCTGTAACCTTTCCTGTGGTGTGGACCTTTTTGGTAATGTGGTTGTCAAAGTGACTGCCTTATTAATGGTTAATGTGGTTTGATGCCCACATTTTTTTTTCTTGATACTAGGGATTGAACTCAGGACCTTGTCTTTTGCAAGGCAGGTACAGTTCCACTGAGCTAAATCCCCAGCCCTGATGCCTACATTTGTAAGAAAGAAAAATGTTAAATTTCAGATAAAAGTTAACAGTGATAGTTGACAAAACATGAGTTTCTCTGTTACCCTTTTGCATCTTGAGAGTCTAGCTCAGAGCTGGAATTACATTTATTATCAAGGCTTGGAAATTAGCTCTGCCTTATCCTACACTTCTCACCCTTCTTTGCTGACCTTTAGGATCATTCACTCGAAAACATAATAGCCCAGCATGGTGGTGCACAGCTGCAAACACTGAGGCAGGAGGATTGTGAATTCAAAGCCAGCTTGCAACATAGTGAGACCCTGTCCCAAAACAGATTGTTAAAAGCCTGGTGCGGTGGTACACACCTGTAATCTTCACTACTTGGGAGGCTGAACCAGGCAGATTGCAAATTTGAGGCCAACCTGGGTAATTAGGCAAGATCATCTCAAAATTAAAAGGTCTAGGGGCCGGGGATTTAGCTCAGTGGTTTTGCTGCCTGCTGCACAAGCACAAGGACCCGAGTGCATGCAGCTCAGTGCTAAAAGCAATTGCCAAGCTTGTGTAGGGTCCTGAATTCAATCCTCAGTACTCCAGCCAAAAAAAACACTTTTTTAGACAGGGTCTCAAACTATGTAATTCAGGCTATCCTGCCTGTCAACCTTCCAAGTGCTGGGATCACTCAGCTTTAAGGGGAAAAAAATTTAACGCATTGAATTCAGTGGTAATTCAGGTGCCAATTTTATTAAGACAGGGGCTTGGGCATGGTTGGGAGTCAGTATTTTCCAGTGGTACAGTTTGTGGTGTTAGAAGATACCTACCTGATTCTTGTCTTCTCTCTTCCCAGGGTTTAGATGTCGATTCTCTGGTCATTGAACATATCCAGGTGAACAAAGCACCCAAGATGCGCCGCCGTACTTACAGAGCTCATGGCCGGATTAACCCATACATGAGCTCCCCCTGCCATATTGAGATGATCCTTACTGAAAAAGAACAAATTGTTCCTAAACCAGAGGAGGAAGTTGCACAGAAGAAAAAGGTAATGAAAGACTTAGTACCTCAGTTTTGTTTATGTATAACACTAGAAAGATGTGTGGTTGCTGTGATGACTATCTTAGGACACCTTTGGAATCACCGTGAAAGGAAACTTGTTCTGAGCAACCCTTTTACCTACTTTTTTGACTTTTGTGACCCCTAATTTGTTTCTTGACTACAATATAATTATTGCCCAACCTAGATTGCCTTAGCTATGTCAAACACTGAGTGCTAATAAGGTTATTTTTAGTAAATGATCAAGTTCATTTCTTAAAGCCAAGAAAGAACCTGGGAATGATTCTGTAGTTTTCCCTTCACGATGAACTACTGATGTTATTGCCTAAATTTTATTCTCTCCTTGCCCTTCTTGTCCTTACTACTTGGGCCTTTACTCCTCAGCATAAGTTGAAGCCCTCTTGAGATCTATTGTGGTTTCTCCTAGAAACTTAATGGTCCTATTTTTTTTTTTTCTTTCTCTAGATATCCCAGAAGAAACTGAAGAAACAAAAACTCATGGCACGGGAATAAATTAGGCATAAAATAAATGGAAATAAAAGTAATGTTACTTGTCATTATTAGTAAACATTTTAGGTATCCTTACAAGATGGATCAACTGGGTTTAATTAATTTTGACTCAAACATCCTAGTTGTGGGTTTTTTGAGATAAAGCATATTGCCTAGCCAGTGATGGCAAACCTTTTAGAGGTTTCAATGATACCAGCGCACTGCAGCACACATGGCATAGGTTCACCACCAGTGGTAGGCTGGCTGAACTGGGCTAAAGCCAGTCTACTTCAGCCTCCCAGTCTGTTGATAACATTTTGCATAAAATGTTATTAAAGCTTCTGGTTTAATGGCTTTACCAAATGCAGTGGGGGGCCAAGGGTTTAGCTCAGTGGTTCTGCTACCTGCCTTGCAAGCCCAAGGTCCCAAGTTTGATCCCCAGTACCAAAAAAAAAAAAAAATGCGGTGGGACCAGGTGTGGCCACACAAGGCAGGAGGATCACTGTGAGTTAGAGGCCAGCCTGGACTACATAAAAAAAAAAAATGCAGAGGGTTTCATAGCTTAATAGAGTTGAGCATCCCACCACCACAATACGTTGTAAAATATTTTCCTTGTCCCATAAAGAAAGCTTGGAGTAGTCACCACCTGGCCCATACTGGGGAATGAATCTAGCGTCTTGGCACTGAGCTATGAGGTCTCACTAAATTGCCTAGACATTTGCATTCTTACTGAAGCCTTAGGGATTGCTGGAATTACAATGCTGTACACCCACCATCACTTGGCTTAATTTTTTGTAATCCACTGTGCCTTTGCCATGCTTGTGTTATTTATAGATGGTGCTGCTGTGAATCTGCTTACAGGTTTTTGTGTAAGCATATTTTCCAAAAATGGAATTGGCACCTGTAACCCCAGTGCTGTGGGAGACTGGAACAAGAGGCTAGACCCCATCTCAGGGCTGGGGATGTAACTGCAAAGGCCCTAGGTTCAATCCCCAGTATAGAGGGATGAGGACGGGCATTGCGGTTGATTAGCGACATTTGAGATGTCTGACATTTTCAGAAAAGCTCTGTACAGTTGCAGTGTTTGAGGGCTACAAATAATATACTTGTGTGGTTGTCACATACTAATGTTTTTTTTGGTTTTTGGTGTCGGTTGAACCCAAACCCTTCGCACGGAGCTGTATTCCCAGGCCTTTGAGCCTTGGTCTAGTATAAGTTCCCGGGGCTGGGCTCTTATTTGACAACCTCTGTTCTGGTGCTGGTGACAATCCCACAGGCTAAGGATGCGGTATACCACCAAAGTACATCCCAGCCTCTTAAACTCTCCTGTCCCTGACTTACTGTACTTAAACTGGCTTAGCAAATAGGCAAACCACAAGTGCATCTGAAGACAAAGTATACAAGCGAGCCACGGAACATTTCCTTTGGGTATTGAGCCACTGATAACGCGTTATTTTCCCAACAATTCCCTTTTTCTATATTCAGAGATAAGGTCTACCTCAGTTTTTCTCAGACTGGTACATCAGGGAAGCCCGGCTCTGCCAGCTGCCTCCACCAACCCCGCCTGGGTGCCAACGTTAGGATTTGTACGTCCTCGCGCTGACGTAGCGCGCCTTTGTCAGCCCTGCGAAGGTGCCCATTGGCTGAACAGCTGCTCGCCACGCCCACCGGAAGTGCGGAGTTTGTCTCCTGGCCTTCGGGGTCGCGGGGAAGCCGGGCTGCTGTCGGAAGGTTTGTGTGGGTTTGTCCGGGTTCGGCCGGGACGGTTTGTGGGGTTCGCCGCTCGCGCGGCGTTTCGGATTGGCTAGACAGGCTCCAGCGCGGCACCGGCACGCAGTCCCGGGCCGGTGCGCGACTCTCCTGGCCGCCTAGCCTTGCGGCGGCCTGCGTTCCAGTACACCGCTCCTGCCTCTGACGGTATACCTCGCTCCTACGCGTGCCCTGTCGCCTGCAGTTCTCCGCCCTACCACCCTTCGTGCCCTCCCCCCGCCCCGCGCCTCACCTTCGTGTTCGTTTAGTTCTCTGCCCTGGCCCGCTGTTGTCCTCCCTGTGCCCTCCTCTTTTTTCAGTCGACTTTTACTCATCCCGTGTCCATTGGGTTCCTTCGAAGTGGCTTTCTCTTAGTCTTGGACTAAGTCAAGTGAAAGATTCTTCTGCAGTGCTTTTAATCCATTTTGCTCACTTTGTTTGCTTGCAGAATAGTTAAAATGATGAATTTCTCTTCGCCACCTTCTAGGCTTTTCTAACCCGTTGTCCACGGCGTAAAATGAATGATTTATGAGGATTAGGAGATAAATACAAATAAATACCTTCTGAACAGACCTAAAAGGTTTTACGAAAGCCGTAATTGTGGCTTAAGTGATTAGTAGCATTTGTTTTTGAGCGTTTACATGTGTGCAAACTTATTTAAGACATCAACTACGAAGGTAAAAATAAATTTTTATAATGAACTGACAGTCATCAATTTAACTATGCTGGTAGAATTTCCATCTGTTTTGAAGGAGATAGTTTTTTTTAAGGTTTAGTAAAAAAAGAAAGAATTGGGCCAGGGATTAGCTCTGTGGCGCCACGCCTGCCTCGCAAGCGCAAGGTCCCGAGTTCAATCCCCGGTAGCAAAAAAAAAAAAAAAGAAAGAAAAGAAAAAAAGAATTATGATCGTTAAGATTTTTGAAGGCGGCGGCAAAAGTTTAGAGCCAGGAACCCAGAATTAGGAATTCTAGTCTTAGCCAACTCTGTTAACCTCTGTGAAAGTTGTGATCAACAATTTTTGGATCTTTTTATTTTTCTTTTTAAAATAACAGTATGTGAAGACACTGAGTTTTGTATCACATTATCCAACCCATACTGCATTCTTGAGATGGGAATATCTTGGTGTAACTCTTATGGGAAATAGGATGCAGTCTGATTAAATAATTTGCCCAGAAACACCGTGTAGAAAGTGGGTCTTAGGTTGAAGCAGGTCTCAAGTCCAAGCAGCTCCAGTGGAATCTGTTTACCTACTAAGCCATGGTACCTGTAAGAGGTTTGCACCAAAACCTTACTAGATCACCTCTGAAGTCTCTGTAGCTCAGATTCTAAGTATCTGTGGCCACAAATTAACCCTTAAAAAATGCTAAAAAATCACCTCTCATTTGGCTTATTTAACCCAGAGAATATGTTGTTTAAAACTTTAGAACAGATTGCTTTGGTAGGTTCTTAAAATTTTTTTTTTTTTTGGTACCGGAGATCGAACTCGGGTCCTTGCAGGGCAGGCAGCGGGCAGAACCACTGAGCTAAATCCCGGCCTTGAACCTTGTATTTTTAAAACTGGCCATCCTACTCCTGCCTTACTGTATATTGAAGCTAGGGCCTCACGCAAGATAGGCAAGTGCTTAAGCACTGAGCTGTATATCTCCAGCCCTTTTTATTTTGAGTCAGAGTCTTGCTAAATTGTCCAGGCTTGCCTCCACTTGAATTCTCCTATCTCATTTTCCCAGGGTGCTAGGATTTCAGGTGTGTCCACTACACGAAATTTTGAGTTAACTTTTGTATTAGCACACCTTAATTTATGTCCTTATAAAGAAAAGAGGGCTGAGGGTTGTAGCTGAGTGGAAGACCACTCAGCTTGCATATGCATGGCCCTAGTTCAAGCACCACCACAGGAAAAAAGGGAGGATGAAGAGAGAGAAAACAAAGTATATCAAAGGAGAGTTGTTGCTAGGTGTGGTGGTGCACACCTGTGATCCCAGTACTTGGGAGGCTGAGGCAGGAGGATCACCAGAAATTTGAGGCCAGCCTGAGCTACATAGTGAGACCCTGTCTCAAAAAACAAAACAAGGGCCAGGGATTTAGCTCACTGGTTCCGCCACTTGCATCGCAAGTGCAAAGTCCAGACTTCAATCCCCAGTACCAAAAAAAAAAAGAGTTGTTGCCTGGGAAAGGCCTGTTGATTTTTACCCTAGGAATCTTCCAAAGTCAGATGTTGGTAAGTTTCATATTACAGAATTTGCCTTTAGTGTTGTAAGATTTGGCTAATTGATATTGTCAGACCCTGAAGCTTAGAAATGGGGAGTTAATTCACCCTAAGTGTACTCTACATTTAAAGGGAATATAAGTCATAATGTGTTGTGCCTCCATATCTTTATCTGTCAATTACAGATAAAGAGCAAGGGTAATCTGCCTCCTTGTTTTGTTTTTTGTGGGTTAAATGAGTTGGTGTTTGTAAGCTGCCTGGCACCTACCAAGTGTCATTGTCTTCCATTTATTACCAAATTTATGGTTGGGAACAATGATTGGAAAGGTTTGGACACTGGCATCTCACCATTCATGTCTACCACCTGTTGTTCTTTTACCTTGCAGATAACAGCATTTTTTTGTTTTTGAAAATACCTTTATTTTTATTATTTATTTATTTTGGTTTTTTGAGACGGTCTTGCTATGTAGTTCAGGCTGGCCTTGTACTCACTATGTCCTTCAGGCTGGTCTCAAACTCATGGTGATGCTCCTGCCTTAGCCTCCCAAGTGCTGGGATTACAGGCATGCACCACCACACCTGGCGGCAGCATTTGTTTTTTTGGTACTGGGGATCAAACTCGGGTCCTTCTGCTTTCGGGGCAGGCAGCAGAACCACTGAGCTAAGTCTCTGGCCCTGGCAGCAGCATTTTTAATATACTCAACAAATAATGCTTTAAATTTTTTCTTTGTTGTAGATTTGACACCTTAGTCCTAGGTAAAGACCTTCCATCACTCATCTAAAGTGAACTAATTTTTCCTTCATATGTATCAGCAGCTTACAAGCTCAAGCCTGTGACAATGGTGTGCATTCCTTGCATAGTCATTCCGGTTCTGCTCTGGATCTACAAAAAATTCCTGGAGCCGTACATATACCCTCTGATTTCACCTTTTGTTAGTCGTATATGGCCTAGCAAAGCTATACAAGAATCCGGTGATAAAAATAAAAGCCAAGGAGACTATAAGGTAAGAATTTTCAGATGCCCTGACTAAGGTAAAGGGGTGGTTCTTGGGTAATACTTGGTTTTTACAAGGGCAAATTTTCTTTAAATTTAACTTTATTCCATTCTGCCCCTCCCCGCAAGCCCCCTCCCCTCCCTATGTACAAAAGCTTTGTTTCCATTTAGAAGGGCAAGTTTTTAAAACAAGAAGCTTAAATATTTTGTCTCAATTAAAGTCAGTAACATTTGGCTTAACCTAAGGTTTTAAATGAGGCCTCTGATGAATGCCTTTGTCCCTTGCCTTATGGCCAAAACAAATTGCAGGTTTTTTGAGATTGAATATTTAGACAATTCTATTGTCTTTGGCACTGGGTTCACCTTTGTGTTCCATTGTGCTAATGTAGTCAACCTATACATTTCTGGAAGCAAAATTGTTTGTCTGTTTTTAAAGAGTATGGCTCTTAGAATATCTTTTATCATATTCTAAAAAATTGTTTTTTCATTTTAGGGTGCAGACATAAGCGGATTAGCAACAAAAGGGCCAACAGAAATCTCTGATAAAAAGAAAGACTGATGCCGTTTTCCCAAAGGATTTCAATTGTTTTAAAAACGGACCTGACCATATAAAGCACCTTCTTTGTAATGATCTCTGACCTTTTTCTCTGAGACCAGAATTCAGGATAGACAGTTTAGATATTCACCTGATACTAATCAGGAAATACATAATATTTATATTTAAAATATATTTAGTTGTATTTAATGACCTCATTCCTAGTTCCTTGTTCATTAAAGTAGCTTTCATTTCTAATAATATGAACAAATTGAAGGCTTGTGCAGTAGACACTTTGTTACTAAATCAGTACTTAAAATCCTTGGGCCTCTAGCATTTGTTCACATGAATTTTACTGCTGTGTACTCTAATTTCTGTGGGTTTTTATAATTTGAGTGGAGTAAATTATACCATGGAACAGGTGATAATGATGTGAAACATAGAGGTATAATTACTGTCCAACATAGTGGAGCAGTTTATCCATAAGAAACTATTATTTATTGCTCTGAGAAAAATAGAAAAGTTGGAAATAGGAAACTTATTTGAAAAATGAAACATCTTTTACATAAATGTCCAGTATATAAATTCTAACTCTGTTGCATTCCTTCTATTCCTACAAATATATTAAAGATTCAGTTTATCTAGTGGCTCTTTCGTCTTTTAAAGTCTTTATTTGAAAGGACAGTTTTTCACCATGTCACAACACAGTTTTAATAATGTGATGGCATCTAGACAGTGGTAGGACAACAATTAGCTTTTGTTCCCTAACAGACCCTCCAAAATTGAATGGTTTCAGCAGTGATTTGACTGGTCTGGGTTCATGTATACAACTGGGGCTCTGGTCTTTCATCGTGGGCTTCTTCACTTTAGTGTAGGGATGTGTAAATACTCGGAGATGATGAGCTACATCTTTATGGCATGCATATTTTCTCTGAAGGAGGGAGAAATTAGAAGGGCCTGTGCTTGGGTCCCCAGTGAAGTCCATTGTTTGATTTAAGTCAGTAGGTCTCAATTTTTCTGCCCCAATCCACCTGAGGATAAAGTACATTAGCAGTCATATTGAGCTGATTAATTTTTTTGTGTGTGTGGTGGTGGTGGTACTGGGATTTGAATCTACGGCCTCTTGCACATTCAGCAAGTGTTAATACCACTGAACTACATCCCCAGCTTGAGTAGTTTGTTTTTATGGTATAAAAACTGTATTATAAAAATAGCAAACCTTTGTAGTAAAAAAGAGCATATTAAATGACAAGTTAATGTACTTTTATTGTCTTCTTCCCAAGCCACAATTTTAACTAGTTTTTTGTGTAGCCCTTTAGCAATTTATTTTAAAATGTTTTTATTGAGTACATACATAACTTGTTTAATATGTCCTTAGTCCCCAAATGCTTTATTCATTGAGATGTTGCTTTTGATATTATCTCCACATTTCTAGGCTATACAGTGTTGCCTCAGTTCATGAGCTTAATTTGTTCCACAGTTCTGGGGAAGATGGCTCCTTTTATGTTCATGTGGAGAAGATGGCTGTGGTCATGTTTGTCACCAGATGCAAAGTTCACGAACCGAAGCAGATTTTTGCCAAACACTCCTGTTTGTGAACTGAATTGTTCACAAACAAAAGCGCTCATGAACTGAGGTGTTACTGTATATATGTATGTGTATCCAATATATGTATATATTTTTTTGAACCAATCACTTCTCAGCCTTTTGGCTAAGATCAAGAGTAGTATATTTTTTTGAACTAGTCTCAGTGTAGCTCAGGTTGGTCTAAACTCATGATCCTCTTGCCTCAGCCTCCTGAGTGCAGATTACAGATATACCACCATGCCAGCTCTATTCTGCGGTTTGTTTTAATTTTTTTTTACTTCCATTAGTACATGTTTGCAGTACATAGTCATTACATTCATTGAGGGAAGTTGCCACATGTACATAACACATCTAAATTCTCCCCCACCCCCATATCAAGGATCAAACTCAAGGCCTTGTGCTTTTGAGGCAGGCACAGTGCCACTGAGCTAAATCCCCGGCCCACATCTAAATTCTTTTTACTTACCCTTACCCTTCTCTCCCTGCTCCCTTTTCTAGATCCTCTTCACATTTGCAAAGGATGTATTCACTATTTATACTGCTATTTTACAAGACTGGCTTGCTGTCATGGTTGAAATGCAGCTGCCTTATGCTCCCTCTGCTCCTATACATCCTTCCTGTATGCTTTTCTTTCTTGGATTGGAGTGGGAGATTCTGGGGATTGAACCCAGAGCCTTGTGCATGCTAAGCATATACTCTACCACTGAGCTATATACTCCCACTCCCTGTGCTTTTACCAATTTTCTGTAAGTCATTAATCAGCATTTATATTATGACTGCCAGATGCCTTTCATTTGTCCCTCTAAATCTCTGCTACCTATGTCCTGCTTTTCTGCCCAAGAAAGTTGCATGAGTTATGTCAACAGCCTTTCCGTTCTAGGTTCTGCTGGGTTTGGACAGTAGGGATGTCCAGCAAGAGATGCAGAAGCAAAAGAGAATACACGGTGCTTATTCCCTTGGCCCTCACTGCTAGATCTGTTCAGGCCATCTGTTCCTCAGCCAAGTCACTGGTATCTTCAGGAGGACAAAGGTGGCTGATTGCATGGGACTCTTCAGTTTTTCTAACCTCTCTTGCCATTTTGGGTCTAGAGGTGGTAGCATCTTTACTGGCTCTGGGTGCTATCTGCTTACAGGGACCCTGATAAAATGAGTATGTAATACTGCATGCTGCACAGGTAACAAAGCATGCTACAACTGAACTTCCCTTTACACACAAGTATTGTTTTTCCTAGAATTACTGATTACATCTGTCTTCCCATACTTCTCTTATCTAGTTGCCTAACTGGTACACAGTTCATGCTCAGGACTTGCCTTTAATTTTTTTCCGTAGGACACCAGTCTTCTAATTCAGTGCTCTTGGGTGGTTGAGGATAAAAAATTTTGAAGTATTTCCCAGATGATTCTGATTCACTGATAACCCCTTTCCTAAGGGGTTTTGCCAATACTATTTTTCTTATTTTTATGGCTGTTTGGGAAAAGCTATCAGCTGTCCTTGGACTGTGTTTTCTGGCTGTGGTTTTATACCATACAGGTGCTCTCTTGCTTCAAAATATCAGTCCTAATGTCTGCCATTCTATACATAAGAGCTGCCTTCCTGATGAGAACTATCATTCGTTAAGCACCTTATGCCTGGCGCTGTGCAGGGGTATTTCATACACATGAATGTATCTGATCTCCATAAAACTTTGAAACAGTCCAAAATACCAACTCATAGAACTTAAATATGTTGTGGCAGGTCTACTTCACACACATTTCAAGGTCACACTCATAACCTACACTAAGGAGCCATAAACAGTTTCTAATACTGTGATGGCAACACTTTACTGAGCAGAAATAGGATGACTTTCAACTAATCAGTATGTATTGGTGAAATTTTTTTAAAGTTCTAATTTTGTTCACCTTGCAGCATGACTTTTGAATTTACCTACTTTTCAGTAACTTATTTCAGGCTTAGTAATTTTAACTGCATTTGTAAGTCAGGCTCATTTGCTCAGGTAATTATTCAAGGCTCACCTGAAAGACTCTGGGGCTTTGTCACATTTTCTTTTTCATTACTGAGCTGCCTTCCTGGGAAACATGGGTGAATCATCACTTTCTCAAAATGACCATGTACCTGTATGCTGACCTGTTTGGCAGAGTGACTGGCCTGAGAACTTAACCTCTGCTCTGAGATCTCCAGAACCCATGGAGCTAAAGGTCCTGGGTTCACTCACAAAGAAGAAGGAGACTTCCTCATTGTTTCCTCCTCAGGAAATGACTGGCTTATTCTGTCTCAAACCTGTATTTATCATCATGGTAAAATTACCTTAAAGGAGAAGACCACAGGCACTTTTATTGTTATGAAGGGACAGCATGGAATAAGGGGAAGAAATATTTGGTCAGGGGTGGGTGTAATGGTTCATGCCTGTAATCCCAGCACTTAAGAGGCTGAGGCAGGAGAATCCATGAGTTCTAGGCCAGCCAGAGGTACATGGTTCAAGGCCAGCCTGAACTATATACTGAGACCTTGTCTCAAAAAAAAAAAAATGGGGGCCCAGGGATTTAACTCAATGGCACCACACCTGCCTTGTGCAAGGTCCTGAGTTCAATCCCCGGTACCAAAAAAAAATTTTTGCAGAAGTTGGGTAAGAGTAAATTTAAATTAAAAGTATTGGGGGAAAAAAGCTGAGCTGGTCCCAGCACCCGGAAGGGAGCTCCCTTGCCGCCATCCCACGCTCCTAGGGTAGAGAAGGTGAGCCGCGTGGGTGCCAGAAGCACCCCCCCCCGGGAAATGAGAAGACACATAAACAAGCCTCAAAAACAGACTTCCGGATCACCTACAGCAACCCCAAAGGGAAACGAGATGGAACAAACTGATACTCAACCTCCTAGACTCTGAACAGGCAACAAAAGAGGATCTGGGAAAAATGAAATCTCAAACAATTACTCAGATATCAGCAAAGATTGTGCTCATGGTGTAAGACATGATTAATAAATCTAGAGAGGACACAGAGAAAAAAATAGAGGATCTGAGGAACATGATGGAATCCCAACATAGGAAACAAATGAAATCTATAAAACAGATACAAACAGGGCCGGGGATTTAGCTCATTGGTTTCGCTGCCTGCTGTGCAAGCGCAAGGACCTGGGTTCAATCCCTGGTACCAAAAAAAAAAAACATACAGATTTCCAGGAGATTAAAAACTCCATTGAAAGTCTGCGCAGCAGGATGAACCAGTGTGAGGATAGAATTTCAGATATAGAAGATAAGATTGCAATTAGTGACCAGGAAAAGAAAAATTGCTTTAAAATTGTAAAGGA